TAATGTACTGAACAAAAAAACGTATATATAACTTCTTTCACTTTATATTGGAAAAATACTTATTTCCTATTAATTCTATATACTTATATGACTTGATTTTATCCTAATAATACGTCAAGCAATATTTTGTGTACATAAACATTTCACGAGCCTGGTAAAAATGTTCATCATAAGAGATTTTGGGAGCTAATAAAAATATGGCGTTTTATAACCTCGCAAAGTATAAACAACTTCTTATCTCCCTTGAAATGATTTATCGATTATCGTTTGAAGCAAAAACACTAACTCAATTACTTTGGTAGACAAAATCATAATTGTAAAAATCTTTATCTATATCACTTGCTTGTAATGTCCCATGCAAGACTTTATTACAGATATTTAGTATAAAATTAAAAAAAATATTGTTATTAATTGAAATCCATAATAAAGCTTTTTAGTCTTATAATTCATTTCATCTCCTAAGCAACAGAATTGCTTCGCCTAAAAGTAATTCTATTATTTAATTCTGCTTACCCAAAAGTAAAGTAATTGTTATTGACCTGCCACGTAATTAGAAATATATATTTTTAAGTTGACTTCAACACCTTAGAATTTTCGTACATTGGAAATTACCTTGTAAAATAATTAAAATAATATATCACGAGTGTGTGTATGTGTGTGTGTGTGAGTAACGTTTGTAACTTGTATGTGTGCGTATTTAATTTATACATGTTTCATTTATATAATCACTAAGAATACATGTGTATGGCATAGTTTTTGTCGACTATAGTGTTTCGAGCATGTGAAGTGATTACTATTGGACTGTACGGACGCTTGAAGTCAATCAAGCTCATAGTGACTACTACTGAATGTATAACATTTGGTGTTCTACCACATTTCATTTTCAACTTCATTCCCTCGTGATAAAGACCTTTTTAAAATATAATGATAGCTTATCGGGAAACATGACTTTGCAATACTTTCTTTATTTAAATGTAAATATGATTTTCAGATATACTAGGTTCATTTAATATATTTTACATGTAACCCGACATTTTGGGTTAATTTGCAAGAACCATAATTACGAGGTTTTTGATAATTCATCTCGTCCTTATGTGATCATGTATGTGTATATATTGTAGCAATATGTGAGTGTACGAGAGGACGAACCATACACATATAAGCAGCTCTCAAACGAGATCAGACCTCCCTTTCGTTTGTGACGCGCGTTGGTGTAATAGATTAATAGATCGTACAGTTTCGGAGTGTGTTTTAATCTTTCATCTTCTATTTAGATTTGCTTTCACTATAAATTTAAAGTAACTTAAGTAAATTTGGTAAAGCATACAAAGAAAAGGCATTTGTGAAAATACCTAATCTTTATTTAAAAATAAATTAATATTTAGCATAGTTTTTAAGTCTATCCAAGGATAAATTATTTCTTTGAAAGATCGTACCTTTTCGGTAACCCTTTATTATAATAGAATATGATTGAATCATGTATTACCAAACAAAACTTATGTCCTATTTGATTTACAAAGGATCAGCAGTCGTAAATCACATTATTATTTAAATCAAAATATCACTCCCACAAGGTAAATATGAGTTGTATAATAATCCTTCGTTTAATATTTAAGGAGTCGAGAAATTGTAACTAGATCACAAATTTATTATTTTAAAAGCCTTCATACAAAAGACCATCATCCGTAGGTTAATAGAAATATGTAATTGTAGTACATTTAATTCGGATTTGAAAATCATTACGGAAGAAAAAATATAACGATTAAATCTTTAATAAAAAGCACGATAACTTATTTTGGAATGCGACTAAGACGAAATATTTATATTCCTAAGTTCGAATCTCATTGATGAATATAAATTTTTACATAATACGAGTATGTGTAATGACAGGTGATCAATATGTCCTGAACGGTTTTCTCGTGATAACAGTTGCTGTAAAGTAACCGACGCGTCGCGAGGAAGTACTCGTAGTTAAAATAATTTAAATTGCCTAGTCAATTCGAAAATAATAGTTTTATTTCAATGAATAACCGCAAAAGTTTTAGATATATATACATTACATGTGTAATGAGCCTTGACTATAAATACTATTACGACCATAATAATGCAGTTCACGTTGCTGTTAATATGTTTTAGGATATATGCTTACTAATGAAGTAATGCAAAGCTGAATTTAGTGAAATTGGGTCTAATTAAAACTTCCGCATGTAAATTCACTAGTATTCGAAAGTATATATGTATAAGATCCTATGTATAATACGACCACCTACATGTTTTCTTGCATATTTTTGGGTTTCAAATTATCTTTTTGCATGAAATCGCTTACATGTTTAAAAATCATAATTCTAGTCTTCCTCTTTGTAAAATATTTTATTATACACATTTCTATATAATAAATCCATATTATTAACTAAGTCGTTTAAGTCTAATGAGATCATTTAACTTTTAACTAAAATGGATTGATGAAATCTAAATCTATTATTTTCGCATATACTCGTACTACGCGTGGTTTATTATTTTAAAACATACTCCCGGCGTTTTAGGTCCTTTGAAGCAACTGTGATCACGGACAGACGAGATGAAAATGTCGTTTTATCAATTTGACCCTTTGAAATTATAATTTAACGATTATATAACAGTATATATACTTAAAACTCACAAATACTAAAAATTGCTATGTAATCAACTTTAATTCTAATTGAATATTAATTGGAGTATTTAAAATCGAATTCAACTGCACAGCGGATTTCTTTAGTTAAATAAATGTCTTTGAAAGTTTTCTTAATGCAAAAGGTATTTCTGTTAAGCCAGTGTTTATTAAAGGAATAAAGGCGTCTTATACTTACAATGGACAAGTAACTTCGTATGTATTATTTTCTTAATTAGTTTTTCAAATATATAAAATCAATGTTTATTCTTGAACTCTGGAATACTCATTAAAATGATATAGAATCTAAACTTCACTGAAACACTGAGACTCTTATTTGTAATAAATTATTTGCCTCTTTCTTCTGATGTGTAAGAATCTTCTGAACACAAAGAAAACTGTTTGTTACTTTAATTTCATCATATTTATGTAAAAATTAAACTTATACACGTCTACAATACATCTGAAGTTTCGAAAGGTTGAAGGGTTTTCTTTAGATCTTCCATTTTATGATTGTATTGTTGCAAAATAACAAATATGTATATTAATATAACCCAAACACTTCCTACATACAAAAACGAAATAGTTCTACAATTTTAGCGTAATCAAAAGTAAGATATTAAATAATAAATTTAAAACAAACTAATACGGTAACAAATGTTAATAGAAATAGTGAAATTATCGTCGAATATTAATCTATATATATAAAAGAAAGTCGTGTTAGTTACCCCACTTATAACTCAAGAACGGCTGAACCGATTTAGCTGAAAATTGGCAGGAAGGTAGTTTAGAGCCAGAAAATTGCAATAGGATACTTTTTATCCCATTCGACAGCATTCCCGTGGGACTTGACATGAAACGTCAGTCTCTATAAACCGTGGAATAACGAAACACAATTGACAGCTATGCAATTGAAGTATAATGACAGATATGTAAAGACTAATGACGTAATGATGACAATTAGATATTTGTAAGAGATCTACTATATAAAAATAAGTCCGGTCCGGAACGAACTAATTTCTACGGTTTGAACTCTTAAAACCATTTAGTATTTGCGGGATAAATTTAGAAAACATTGTTTTTCACATGGGCGTTATATTTTGCGTGTTCATGAGTTTGGAAACCATCCGCTTTATTTGTGTTAAAGTTAGACCAAAAAACAAAAAATGTGGTTTACAAAGGGCCACTTCAATGAAACGGATAATTTGCGGATACGTATAACGCTTCGATTCAGTATCTACTTTGGATTCACTTTCATTTACTTAGAGAAGTTCAACTAAATAACACTTCATTTTTGTAATCGAAATGAATTCATTACTGTTGTGAAATGAAATAAAAATTTTCCTTTTCAAATATAAAACAAAAAAAATTCTTCATCTTTTAATCACCAAACGAAATGTTATATAAAAGCCTTCTGGTGGCGAAACGGAGTTCGCCAGGTTTACTAGTAATAAAATAAGTGTAAATATTGAGAACACTTTATTTTAAAGTCGAGAGACAGCCTCTTTAATAAAAAAATATCTTCACTATATATTATTATTATTAACTCTTAAGTATAAGATGAGGTAGCATTCCTCAAATAGAAATTATATTAGTTTTTAGTAACTATGTTTTAACAAGGCGATGCCACAAGTAAACACACATGACGTACATCAACGCTTCAATACAATTAAGCTCCTCTGTGAACAGAGCATAAGCTGCATAATTTATTAGGTGGTAGAGCCTAGCTGTAGTTAGTTACTACAGCTCGAACATGGGCTGGCTCGACCGGGGAAGTACCACCCTCTCACAGAAGATCGGCGTGAAGTAGCCTTTAATGACTGCGTTTCGTCCGATGAGTGAGAGAGCCGGTTGCCCTTTCCCTATTCCAATCCTTTCCTACCATTTCCTTATTCCCACCCCTCCCTATCCCTACAAAACAAGGTTGGCAATGCATCTGCAACATAGATGTTGCGGATGTCCATGGGCGACGGTAACCACCTTCCATCAAGTGGGCCGTCTGCTCGTTTGCCAGCTTTCACATAAAAAAAATAAAAAAAAAATGCAATAGATATTTTATGAAACAAAAATAACTTTATATTATTATTATATTACGTAGTAATTACAAATACATTGTCTAAATTAATCATTATATATTACATACAAGATGCACAAAACCATAGGTTCATGGTACATGGTACAAGGTTCATGGTACAGTTTCCAAAAAGTTTATAAGAATAAACTATATATTTAAGACGAAACTACTAAGCATTCCATGGATTCACCGTGCGGGTGCCGGGTCCATCGCGTTGCAGGGAGAGGAGCTTCAACAGTGCCTGGGACTTGCGACCCAAGTGTAGGTTTAAGGGGCCCCTTAACTAACGCGCGTTATACGCTCACCTCCACTGTCCAAGCTCCTCTCCCTACCTAACCAAATTTGAAAAGAACCTACTAGGGCTGCCTTCGATATACGTTCCAAGAATGAATTAATGTGAGTTCTGGACAAGCCCAAGTCCTTTAGTAGGTTGTAGAGAGATTTCGCTGTTATACCTCTCGCTCCCACCTCTACCGCGTACAAATCTACTACGAACCTATTTCGAGTGAGTTCGTTTGTGAGCTCGTAATATTTGTTGACCTTGATGGTATGGTCTTTGGGGATGTTGGTTTCCCAAGGGACCGTTAGCTCTATCATCACTACGCGCTTTAAAATTCGCGAAAACAAAAATATATCCGGTCTGGAGGCCGACGCACAAATATCCTCGGGGATTTTATATTGCTTTTCATACGTGTCCATCATTATAGTCCAATCCGACACCACTTTAAGGATGGAGTAAAGCTTGACGTTTGATTTTGTAGTCCTAGTGCCTTCTCTCACAAAACCTACTGATCGTTCGTTTGTGGTTATTTCCTTTTGCGCTCTGGCTACCGAAAGACTAACCGCTTCACGTATGACTTCGAGAACCCTATCGTGACGACGCGAGTATTGACCGCTGTCCAGGAGTACCTTACATCCCACCAGCAGATGCTTAGCAGTTCCAACTGCCTTTCCACAGATATAGCAAGTTTTTTCGGTACTTTTACCCCATCTTACTAAATTACTCTGATCTGGGAGAGTCATCTGGAAAGCATTGAGATAGAATTTTAGCAATGCTGGCGACCAATCATAAATTAAAGTGCGCCATTTTAATGCTAATGGGATGCAAAAATCTCCTATGTCTAACCACTCGTTCTGCATTTCTAAATTCATTGCATGGATCTTATATTTATCATTCTCGTCTTGCCGAATAAAAGACTTCAATATATCCGCATCTTGGACTTTCCTATTTGATCCTAACCCCGCTCTGACACTCTGTGCTCCTATCATAAATTGCTTATGGAGTTGAAGTCGTGACTCTAGCTCGGGGGCATCTTCATCTTTTGGGAGCGATGTCACTATGTCATCATGGGATTTCCCCAGGATATATCTCTTGGAAACTCTTAGGTGTTTATGGAGCTCCGATGGCCTTTTTAGACTCATCCCAAATCTATTGCTTCCCCTAAATAACGCCGATGAATCAGCCGTTAGAGCGAGCCCGAGCCACAACTTCAACATCTTTATGACGCCTGCATCTAACTTTGACAAAAGGGTTTTATTAAAATCATAGACGAGGAAAGGCCAATTCAAACGTGAAGTTAAGTAATTCTCGTAGATCCACGCTTTTTTGACATTACTTATCAGTTGGCTATCTACCTTGTTAAGATCGTTCAAAAAGCTATCTACTATTCCTTCTAAAGATGGAGTACGGCCTATATTATCAATCTTACGACCGAGAAATTTAAATGGTGCATTTTCCGTAACCGTAGAAATGCATTGACCGCCTAACGATAGTCCCGGATCGTATGAGGTGTATCTTGTATTCCGCCTACCAAGACACAGACAATGACATTTACTGGGTTTTGTCCTCAATCTATCCGTCCACTCACAGAATTTATCCACTTCATCCAATAGTACTTGACAGTGTTTGGGGTTACGTGTCAGTATTGCGAGATCGTCAGCGAAGGCTAAAATGGATTCCGTGTATTTATTATTAAACTTAAACCGATAACCCCATTTTTTCTCGTTACAGATTAATTTGTCTACTAAGATGTTAATAACGATATTAAATGTAATTGGAGATAGACAACAACCTTGAAACAGTCCTACATTATGACTCAAACTTTTTGAAGGGCCTTCTCTAGTTATTATAGAAAACCTTAATTTTGAGTAATACGACGCGATCATATCTCCAACTAGGGGTGGAAAGTTGTTAACATATGTTAACTTTAGTATTTGCTTTATACTTCAAATAAGTTATTGAAACTACTGATATAGCCCGTTAGACTTAAGCTGAGGTTTGAATTTGTGTGAGTGAAAGTAAAAGTAGAGTTGGACAAAAAACTTTAGAATTAAAGTATATTATATTTTAAATAGATTCATAATATAAATGCTAGAGCTATTCTAGATTAAAAATAAAATAAGCAAAACTTCTAAAAGTCCAGATCAAAATAGTATGGGAAAAAAATATAATTAATAACAAAATTAAGAACTATAGAAATTCTTCTTCACTTGACATTGCGTTTTCAACATTTGACGCTGCTACCAATACAAAGGGTGAAGTGCGGAAAGTGAGGGCCGGAGTAAAAGCAGTATAAATCGGTTCAAAACTAGAAAAGAACGTGGTATTCAAAAATTTTACATCACACCTACACTATCCGTGTACACTCACACAAATGCAAAGCTCAGCTTTAATCAAATCCACTACCTATACCACTTGAACGCTTCACCTTACTGAGGTTTTATACAATACCAATTTTGTCCCTTCTCGCCTGGTTGATAAAATTGTTTGTTCAACAAAAATCATTGCCAAAACCATTAACCAGATGAAAAGGTAACTAAACTTGCACAATACAGTATAAACTGTCATATATGAATACCATAATTGACACTTTGTGTAAGAACCAAAAGAATAGTGCCGTTCTGTAACATTTACTGGTTTGTCAGTGTATAATAAATTCAATTTTTATACCACTTTATCGAGAGACAGCTTCTTAAAGACCTTTCACTGGGTCGGAATATTTTATTCAATTTACTGACTTTATAAATTAAGTTTTATCTTTGAAGACATGAATTTCTCTGATCATATTTAAATGTCCAGCTATCGGTAAGAATTGTATATAAAATGGTTAAAGCTTTTCACTAAGTAGCCATTTACTGAAGTGACATTTAAATGTGCCATAATGAATCCTTTTCCAAAGAAATAATAATCGTATTTATAATGTTATTAGGAAATCTTAAACCTCCACCCGGGTCTCAAATCTTAGGAACGTGACTACATGGAATGATGTGAGGTTTCGTCTCTAATTAATCCTTTTTCCAAGAAAATTTTAATCGTATTCATAGTGTTACTAAGAAATTAAACAATTTGATTATTTTTTTAACATCAACAGAACAAATTAATTAAGTGTACTCTATTAATACTCAATTAATAGCTGCAAAACTTAATGAAGGAATATCAATTAACCATTTGGACTAATTGATCATCTGTGAGTGTTTTATTAATTATTCCACTTCACAATCTATCGAGAACAGATTTAATTAAAAACCTTTAATAGGCCGAATATTAATTTCAATATTATATATAATCAACATCCCGTCGATTAATCAGTTTTGAGTAAAAAGTTAATTGGTAAAAATATTTATTACAAAAAAATATTATGTATTATCGACAAATTTCAATTTCAAGCCTATGTCACGATAACAAAACTTCATAAATCATTCAGAAAAACGATTAATGAACAATATAAATGGGGTCTGAAATATACATTTGTAGATATGCTCTTCATACAGAAATATTGAGAGGGAATGTAATTGCGATAAACATAGACATTAAAATGAAAATGTTTGTATGAAGTTGCTAGCTGTGATGATCTTGTTGAACAAATTATTTATCTCTTTAGTAAGCAAATAGAAATTGATGGTTCCATACTCCTAATAAAGCTAGGGTAACCGGAGCTAATAAAAATGTGAGAGCACCAATTAATTAGCAAAATTACTAAAATAAAGTTACTTTAACTTAATGTTTTTCTCACCTATCAAATCTTGATAAATAAGTTAAGTACATAATATATGTTTAACTTAATGAACACATTTGGTGAGATGTATAAAAATATATAAAACAATAGCGAACATATACAAAAAGATTATAACGTTCTACATAACACGACATGAAGTGATTTTTGTTTAATAAAAGTATGAAGTAAAGCTTGAAAATTGGTTGCAATTGGCTAGACGATATAGGGATCAAATCTTGTATTCCATAAGTTGTAAGAAATACTACTATTAGAGAACAGGAATAAAGAGAGACGAAAGATAAATATATATTCATGTGTATTTAGAAGTACTCTTACATAAAACAAATATTATTTTTTTTTTTTACGATTTTATTACGTGACTTTATTTTTGTAAAAAACTACATACTCCCAACGTTTCGTTTACTTTTCAGCAACCGTGATCTTCAGTTAGATGAGATGTGAATTTAATTTCCAAAAGAAAAATAAATTCTTACTTTCAACTTTTCAGTGAAATAGTCTTCTGGTTGCAAATTACCCAATAATTTAGTAAAAGAAATTTTGTAACACATGTACCTAATTTTCGAATTGGCATTTCGTCAATCGTAATGAAAATGTCAAATATTCTGATTGGCTACCTCACTGATAGGTAATTCGTCCAATCAAGGTTTGCACTTTGGAGTTATTTTAATATGACTCTTAATGCACTTGACTTTAAGGTTTTAAATTAAGTAGTTCATGTTACACAAAATTGTTGATGTTTGACTGCCACCAACCCGTATGTACATAATTTGTTTAGTGACAAAAGGATTGGCAAATAGATGGAACGCAGTGATTAGGTATTTGTAGTTAATAAACTGAACTAAAAACTTAACCCAACATCGATGACCTAATTACAATCTATAGATATATTAATATGAATAAAATTAGAGTGTCTGTTTGTTGTATTGAAATTACCGGTATTTACTACATGCATATAGACGGAACTACTATTTACTTTTTTAGTTTTTTTTTTATGCAGAGTCGCGGATATTCACTAGTATTGAAATAAAAAAATAATATTTAGCGTCAAATTAGCATAAACTTTTTGAAAATTATATTTTATTAAACGATTTTATTTGTGAGTATATTTAATAATGTTCGAAATGGAACAACTCTTTATTTCTTGTTAGCAAACCGGGATATTTTATTGCTTTTATGTTCCTAGTGCCATATTTTATGATCTAAAATTTCAGAGAGCCTGAATTTGCGGTTTCCATGGAGACACTTATATAAAATAAATTTAATACATAACATGGTATTTACAGATTTATGTTATAGAAATAAAATGTGTACTATCTCAAATGTCCATACAAGCGTAATGTTCGTTGCCTTCCACTTATGTCACCTTTATACAAGTATATACCTTCGAAAAATGGTATTTTTCTCTAGCCTGTTACTTAGCTGATGGGATTGGGCGAAAAAACAAAGGATAAAATTATTACATTATGATTTACTTATACAGTTACACAGTACAACAGTTAATACAAGAGTAAGTATAATACGACCGTAAAGAATGACAGATGACGTCATAGACAGTAATTCCATCTAGTAAGTTATTTAACAACTAAAACAATATAAATTGTTTGGATTATACTTACATGACACATATATGTCATATGTAAATAGCTAATTAAATTGTTTAAAGTAAATTTAGTATGCTTACTTAATTATCATATTGAATTTTCAAATTTAAACATCTTTCGCACTTTCTTATAGATGCAGGTTATCTTAAAACTTATTTCAAAAGAACTGATTTCTTCACCAAGAACGTTGGACCATCTTGTACGATTGTAATTGTAACAAGTGTGACAGTATGTTTTATATAAATATCTTTATTATTTAATTGTATTCTAGTTTAAGATATAAAGAATTAATATTCGTAGATGATTTTGAAGTACTTCAATTTTGAAATTGATTATTATTAATAAAAAAAAAAATACTTAGGTTCTTTTATATTAATGATAGAAAATTTATCCATGTAATTTTCTTATACTGAACACTATTAAATTAATAGTTGTCAATTATTCATCTTTTAAACATAACGGAATTGAATTAGTGTTCTAGGTAAAGTTAAGTCTATGAAAACTGAAATTTTTTTAGATAACTTAAAAAATATCTCTTTAATAATTTAAATGGCCCATGTTATTATCACTGACAGTTTCTTGAGCACAAAAAAATAAAGGTCGATGTTCCGTTATTTTAGCAAATCGGTCAATAAAACAACGCTATTTATGAGAACAACAACAGCAACAGAACAACAGTTTATGAGAAATCGTTAAAGGTACTGTAAAGCTGGGTTTAGAACAATGACATATAGACAATTGTTACTTACAATTCACCTGTTTTTTTAAAGAGAAAGACAAGGTGAGGAAAATTTAAAGATTTATTTATCGGTCAGGGACATTCATATGCATTGATGACTTATTTGATTATTAATTACTCTGAAATTCATTTATTCATTCATTTATTAAGACGTATAAAGTGAAGGATTATTTGAAAAATTGTGCGCCATTTACGTATTGTGTTTGGAAATTGAAAATATATTAAGATTTATTTTGCTTTGCATCTATACCACTTTTTTTAAATTGTAATACAGTGCTAAGTCTTTGCTTTTCAAATTATTCTTCTTTCAAGTCGATCGACATTAAAATAAGCGCGATTCAATGCATCGAAAAACGTTAACAGAATGAGTAAACCCCGTATCTTTACAAATATGGGACAAACTTACTTTTATAGAAATGAAAGAAGTTAACAGCGTACCTGTATGCTGCATATCTAACATAAAAGTTTTTTTTTTTAACTTTCTGTGTGGTACAAATACTTTTAAACTGGTCTTTCAGAACAGAATGCTTGAAAATAAAAAATCATTCCCAGTAGATAACGAATAAC